CCTATTTAGTTTAATATATTTAATGTGAATCTAAACCCTAAACCATTATTCTTTCTTTACAAATATTTTCCTAACACTATATTTTTTTTCTAAAAAACAAATTGTTCCTTTTGAAAAATATATACTATTAATTAAGATACTCCTATAAACGAGTACTGAATTTTTATTTTTATATATTTAATATCAGAGAAACTTCTATACGAACTTCTATAACTTTATAACAATAGGTATTATTTAATATATGTAACATTAGGTATTATAACTTGGACAACAATATATATATATATATATATATATCAATACTATTAATACAGAAGCAGATTTTATCTATTTACGAATAGTTTAGGTTAAACCATTACATTTAACTAACTTTCTTATTATTTTAACTTATATCTAAATTATTTATTATTAAATAAATAGCATGACATAAAATTGAAAAAATAAATAATTATCTATTGTTTTCAGTAAATAATGAATTTAGTTTATATTAACACTAAATTTAAGTAACTAATCAATTCTATTTTTATTTATTAATATAAAATAAGTATATATGCATACTTTCGTATATTTACAACTTTACTTAAATACAAATGAAAAAAACAAATCTTCAGAATCCTCACCAAATACATAATAATATAATTCTTATAGGTAGAATATCAAAGTTATATATATATGTATATGATAAAATGAATATTAATTTTTAGCTAATATTAATATTTAATTATATGATAGAACATGTAATTATTAATATTTTTATGAGTATAATTTTATGGGTTATTTTAACAAATGTGTAAATATCTATCTATTATATTAAAAGAGAAGTCATGACTCATTTCATGTGTGATTTTTCTTATTTGGATCATTAGAAAGCTTTATTAAATATATTTCATTAAAGCTAATAATAAAATTTGTGTAACTACTTTAATTATAAAATCTTTTGATATCTTTTTATTTTAAATATAATAAATATATATATAAAACTACAGAGAATCTGTTGAACAAGATTTTAGCAATATCTTAAATTTTTTAAAATTATGTAAATATTTCCCAATTTCGAAATAGTAATGAAATATAATTATACATTAATATATATTCAGATATCTTTTATAAAATGGAAAAATAAAAATTCTATAATTTTTATATATTTTATAATCATAATCTATCATATTTAAAAATTATTATATTGAAGTAAATATTATTAAATTATATTAAATTGATAAATTAATCTATTATATAGATTTGATTTTTTTCATCCTATTATATAAATTTGATAAGTTAATCAATTTTTAATTTCATAAATAGTAAATATGTTGGCAGAACGGGTTACCTTAGTAATTATATGATACATGTATAAAATTAACATATAATATTTTTTATATACAATTATACACTATCTAAATAAACATAAAAAAATTCCTAAAGAATAATCAAACTTTAAAACCCGGATTGAAATTTAATATAAATTAAATATAAAATAATTTTGTTTGTAATAGTTATATAAAAATTTAAATACTGTTAAAATATTGTGTTTGTAATAGTTATATAGATATTTAAATGTTGTATATGATTATGATATAGAACAAATATTTATTTATATAAAAATAAAAATAAAACCCGCGCGGTTGCGCGGGTCAAAATCTAGTTTATCTTATTAAACAAACATAAACCACACTTTAAGTTAGGTTTGAGAGTTCAAGTATATGTTGGGATACAGGTTGGATATATTGAATTTCGGTTCTAATTTATATCACATTCTAGGTTTCAATTTGAGAAATTTGCAAGTACATACGGGTTCAGATATAACACATCGGTTTTCGTTTGAATTCGTATCACATCTGAAAACCCATTAGTAACCATAAATCATTCGGATTAAGGTTGTATTGGTTCAATTAAGATATCTGAAGTTAAATCTAAAATTTAAAAGCAAAACATAAGAAATAAATACTTATCTAGATACTTAAGGTACTAATTTCAAATTTAAAGATTTATTTTTAGATACCATTTCAAATAAATATAAAATTAAATATATGAAGCACATATTTTTGTTTCAAATATTTATATTTGTGATTAATTTAGAATTTTGGATCGGGTTTTTTGGGTTTTCAGTTTTTTTTTTCCAGGTTATCTGTTCGGATTTAGTTAATAACGCTTCGGGTTCAGATATGTTTTGTACCATTCTACAAAACTCATTATGGTATTTCTTACATTCGAATCGGGTACCGATCGTTTTTTGTTTGGGTTAAGTTCGAACTTCAGGCCCAGATTTTATACTTATATCTAACTAAAATAAATAAAAATATGATTATATAAGATTTTCATTGAAATATATCCCGCGCTTTCAAAGCACGAATCAAAATCAAATATTTATTACATTGATAATAAAATGCATATAACTCGTGCTATTTATAAGTAACAGTATTCTCAAGATTAATGGTTTACCTTATTCTTTTTTTTTAACTTCATTTAGAGTTTAAAATTTGAAGTAATCGAGATGATAAATTTGCATGTCACGAAAAAGAATTAGTTATATTGTTGAGACTTTTAAGTTTACATCGGAAAAATGCTTTAATAATCAAACTATACTTTAAATACATTAGTCAAAAATAAAATATAGTTTTACATGTTTCAGCACTAAATATTCTTTTCGCAACAGTAGTGCATATTCTAAAACATGATTTAATGTTATCTAAAATTATGTAATTTATTAAGCAAAAATTACTTACAAAAAAATAAATAAAAAATTTAACTATATTTATTTTGTGTGATCTGCAGCTTATGGACACCTTTAAATGGGATCCAAGAATCCGTCTATGTGGATACATTAAGAAAAGAATAAACTATTTTATTATAGTATAGATTTGTAGCGTTAAACATAATTGGAAATGAAAAGTATTTAACCTTTTTGGCTTTAAATATACAACGAACATTTTACAACCAAACAACAGATGGAATAAACGAAACACCGCATCTATATAAGCTTCTTCAGTTGTTAAAAAAAAACAATTAATAATAATATAAGCTTCTTCAGTGTTTCAAATATTTAAACCAAAAGTTCGTTCTAGATATGGCATATTTAATCACTACCAAAAAGCAATATAAACTATATAATTATATATAGTAAATTAAAGGAAGTGGGGTGCATGCAGTGCATGGACTCGGACAACATTGATCAGTTGTTTTTGAACAATACAATAATGATGTATACATCGTGCATGGCTGGCTAAGATCACATGAAACTGTATGTCAAGTTGCTCAATTTTTATTTATGTAATACTAGTAATTAGTTTACACATGAATCTGGTCTGGCAGAGAAGGTTCCTCCAAATAAAGTTGCTTAAAATAACAAAAGATAATGACTCAGGTTGATGAATTATGACTGACAATTGTATGTATATTAGGGGTAATCAATGAGATCAATTGGGTTTCTTATGCAAAGTCAGAACTAATTTTCAACCCAAAAAGTCTTTTCTTTTATGAAAAAAAATATGAAATTGAAAAATATCAAATGTGATCGCTAGGACCAAACACAACAAGCCCTACGCGCCTTCTTTGACGGGGCCAACGACTTGATTTGACTTGGTCAAACTTTTGATAGCGAAGGGTAAAACCGTCTTTGAAAACATGGTCTCAGATCCAACGGATCCTGTTTATTTATATATAATCCAAATCCAGAAAACAAATGAATCCAAGGTAGGCCCATGACATTGCATAAACGTGCGAGTGGTAGATGCAGATTTATACCTAATGTAAAAAAATGAAGTTTATAGCGTATTTAATTATATGACGTACAAAAAAAACTAAAATTTTTGTACATTTCTTACAATAAACTTAGTTAGGGCTTGGCAATCGGGGTCCCAATCGGGTTTCGGTTCGGGTTCATTCGGGTTTCGGGTTTTCGGGTTCATGAATTTTAGCCCCATTCGGATATTATAAAAATTCGGGTCGGATTCGGTTCGGGTTTAGTCGGGTTCGGTTCGGGTTTAGTAACATGTCCAAGATCCGGTTGAACCCGAAATAGTTTCGGATACTAATCGGGCTATCGGTTCAAAAAAAATACTAATTTATACTCAATTAAACTCACTATATTTTCGATCATTTTATTAAATTTGTGTATTTAGCTTCTACAAACCATATTGTTCTCCTTCAAAATAATATTGTGAAACTCATCTATCAACCATATAAGATTTGTCATTGAACTATATGTGACAACACTAAACATATCATGATTAATGACAAACCAAAGCCTTGTATGAACGAAATATAATACATAATAAAACATAAAAAATTAAANTAACTTAACTTCAAATGTAATGTCAATCATAAACATTAATATTAACCAAATAACACTATATATTAGACTAAATATTTTAGCTAATTATTTATATCATAACTAATTATTGTAGGTACTCAATAATATATTAATCTATTTTGGAAACATATTAGAAATTTAGATTGGATATGATACAAGTTTTTTTGGAATTTTAAAGTTTCGGGTTCTTTCGGATATCCATTTAAGTTCGGGTTCGGTTCGGGTAATACTCATAACCCGAAATACCGTAAAACAAGATCCATTCGGTACTTATGTCGGGTTCGGATCGGTTCGGGTTCCTTTTTATCGGATCGGATTCGGTTTTTTTTGCCCAGCCCTAAAATTAGTATTATTACTCCCTTTATTACAGAAATTAAATTATGAATAAATAAGAGCGCTTGTCTTTTATACACTACTGTAATTAACCACAAAAGTGTTCATTAGCCAGCCACAATCATCCAAAGCAATCGTGTAGTAAAAGCCAAGCGCTCTCACTTAACCACTAACAAAATTACACGTCATATACTTAATAATAGTGCTATTATTATTTGTTTTTTTTCCGCCAAAATTCATTTAATTATTAATTATCTCTGTCTTCCTCTGTTTCGAACGTAATTGGCATCTTCGTCTTCGTCTTCTTCTTCTTCCTCACCATTTCCTCTGTAGCAAGACCCGAGCGATCATAGAAAAAACGAAAACGAAGAGACTTCTACATATAAACACACGAATCTATATATATATAAGTTTGAAGTTTTGGAATCTATACGTCGTGACTCTGGATCTGATTCTCCCCCTTTGAACTCTCGAGGTTCGATTCGTCTTCACATTCTTTCTCGTTGATCCCTGTGATTGCATTTATTAGCTATGAAGAGATTCACAATGTGCTTCCCAATTGTGATTTTTTTTAATTCGAAATCGTAACGGAACTTCTCTCTGACGTTTTCCCGGGAAAAAAAATCGGATGATTCTCCAAGAAAAATTACAATTGAAAAAGAGATCCATTATTCTTGGAATCTAATTCTAAATTGAATATTCACAATTATTCCTATTTTTTTGTTACAGGTTCTGATTAATTCTAATTTGAATTAAAGGAATCACAAGTTAGTTAAAGGAGCTTGTGGCTCAAGTTTGATGAGATGAAGACATCTAAGAGGTGGAGTCTTGGAAACCTACGAGACATGGCGTCTTCTTTACCTGGACTTCCACGTCACCGTGCTCCTTCCAAGAGACGAGCACGTGTCTGGATCCTCACGGCGTTATTATTGATCACTTTCTTTGCTGTAGTTGCTTACATGTACCCTCACCACAGCAAACGTGCTTGTTATATGATATCTTCGAGAGGGTGCAAGGCTTTAGCTGATTGGCTTCCTCCTTCTCTGAGAGAATATTCTGATGATGAGATTGCAGCTCGCGTTGTGATTAGTGAGATATTGAGTAATCCTCCTGTGATTAGGAAAGATTCCAAGATTGCGTTCATGTTCTTGACTCCTGGTGCGTTGCCTTTCGAGAGGCTATGGGATAGATTCTTCCAGGGACATGAAGGGAAGTTCTCTGTTTATATACATGCGTCAAAGGAAAGGCCTGTTCATTACAGTCGTTACTTTTTTAACCGTGAGATTCGCAGTGATGAGGTTTGTAGAGATTAATTTATTCTTTTGTTATCCGTTGAGATGAAAATGAATGTGTGTTTTGCCTCATTTTGCAGGTTGTGTGGGGGAGAATATCAATGGTTGATGCAGAGAGACGGTTGTTAGCTAATGCTCTTAGAGACCCTACAAACCAGCAATTTGTTTTACTCTCTGATAGGTGATTATCTTGATCTCCTTCTCATTGATAACTTTGAGGTTGCCTAACACATTTGAGTGTTTCTGGTTTTGTAGTTGTGTGCCTCTTCGAAGTTTTGAATACATTTACAACTACCTCATGTACAGCAACGTCAGCTATGTTGACTGGTATTAACCTCTCACTCTTCTTCCCAACCTCTGTGTGTTGTTTACATATGTTTATGATTCCCTTCTACTCTTCAGCTTTGACGATCCAGGTCAACATGGATCAGGCAGGCATATGAATCACATGCTGCCTGAAATTCCCAAGAAGGATTTTCGAAAGGGTGCACAGGTAAAACATATTGCTATTGATCCAGTAATTTTGCTTACCTGATGCGGTATATAACACACACTAAGGAGTATATAAGGAGCTGTTTCTGTTTCAATGCCGATATCTGTTAACATGGCATAAGTCTCAAGTAGATCCTTTAAGGACTATTGATAGACCAAACATGTGTCTGCAAAGTCAACCATTCATAAATCCCAAAGTGTTTTTTGATGTTGATGAGTTAGTTTCATTGTGCAGTGGTTCACCATGAAGCGGCAACATGCTGTAGCAACTATGGCAGACAGTCTTTACTACTCCAAGTTCCGGGATTACTGTGGGGTGAGTATATAATAAACCCTCAATGTATATGTTATATTACAAAAGGCATAAAGAAATAAACCATTATTCATTCCTGCATTTTGTTTTCTTCAGCCAGGTATAGAGAACAACAAGAACTGCATAGCTGATGAACACTATCTGCCAACATTCTTTCATGTAAGAAACCGTTTCAACTCAAAAGGAAAAGAATAATCTCCTACCGTCTCTTCATCTCTTATATATTTCGGTTGCAGATGCTTGATCCAACTGGCATTTCTAACTGGACTGTAACACAAGTTGATTGGTCTGAGAGAAAGTGGCATCCCAAAACATATATGCCTGAAGATGTCACACACGAGTTACTAAACAACCTCACGGTATGTAAAGCTTCATCTTTGCTTCAGTCTCTTCCATTGCTTTGATTAAATCTACATATATGCAAAGAAACTCTATAAATCCTAAGATTTTGATTTATCTATCTGCAGTCTACTGACACAGTGGTACATGTCACAAGTGTTGGAGCGGTACACACTTTCAAACCAATTTTTCCTCGGTATTTTAGCTCTGATCTTTCCAGGATTTAATACAAATCATCACTTTTACTTTTGGTTAACAACAATAGGGTGAAGAAATATGGATGCCTTGTATGTGGAACGGAATCAAAAGACCTTGCTACTTATTTGGAAGGAAGTTTCACCCGGATACGCTCGACAAGCTGTTGGATCTCTTCTCAAATTACACAAAATCAGTCTCTTGGCAACTGTGATTAAAAAGGGTATTATCTTCTTCTATACACTTAAGATTCTTTGACCAACGTTGGATTCCTCATCCACATGACATTGGAAGAGTTTTCTCAGAAAGATCCATAGAAGCTGTAACACTAGATGTCTAGAAGCTTTAGGCGGTATTGAGAACTTCTTTCAATTGATACTTCATTTGGTTGGAGGGAGACGATGGTTTTATTTTTTCTCTACTCTGTTTTTCGGTATATCTCATATTGTTTACTTCCAATTGTTGTGAAAAAAGAGAATTTTTCGTCTTTCTTTTTGTGGATAGATTTATATTTTTTGTTCAGAATGATGAAGAACACAAACTTATACAGGTTTATAGAGTTTCTTTACACATATATATAGATATGCTCTTTGGTTTTGAGTCTTGACTTCGAACAAATAGTCAAGACAGGCTAACATTGTGTTTTACCGGTAGATGTAAGACTTGATCATATGGACTTGGCAAAGCAACCTTCTATTGTAACATGATGGTCGCTGGTCAACCTGAAGCTAATAGTCATACTCATATTGGTCAAATAAAGATGGATATAAGTTGAAAGTAGTATATTGTTTGATAAGTTATAGTTATTGATACAGCTACCAAGAGGTTATGAGAAGTGTGTTTTATGGTTTGAACTGTTGGTATAGTTCTTGAGATTATTAATTGCTTAACCAAATAAACTCCTAACCTGCAACTACTCTTCTTTGAGATGACCACGTACTATCCAGATTCGACCAAACCTCACCTTGAATTCTTCATTATATAGTAGTGTCTCATATCTGACTGTCAAAACTATCCTCATCTCCTATCAAGAATGATTGTCTAAGCTGTGAAAGTAGTAATATGATTCATTGAAGAACAAAGATGTTTTCCACAGAAGGTGTGAAGAGTACTACAGCAGTGTGGGGGTTTTGGTAGGAGATGCGTTGGCGTTGATATCAAAAAAATAGCGACTCTAACCACCGGTTTGATAATAGCGTTTAGGGCAAATTGGATACTTGCTCTTATGGTAAGCTTGCTGTTTCACTGTTTATGATTATGCAAGGATATGTTCAAACCAAGTTCTTGACTGGTTTTAGCTTAGATGCTAAGTAAGGTCTGATCACATTTTCTGGATTAGTTCCGGTTTAGTCAGTTTAATTTTGGTTTGATTGATCTGGTTTATCCCGGAATTAAACTGACTAAACCGGAATTAATCCAGAAAATGTGATCAGACCTTAGCATCCACGCTAAAACCAGTCAGAAACGTGGCTTGAGTGTAACCTTGCATAACCATAAACGCTGAGACTGCAAGGAGCACAAGACCATAAACCTTGAATCCTCAGGTTTGATCTTTCTTCTCTCTCTCTCTCCTAAGGTTGTTATCTGTCTGCTTTTTTTTATGCTAAAGTGTCGGATATACATAGCTATTTGGTGTCAAATTTTAGACTATAGCTAGAATGCTAGCTAGTATCCTGTTATTATCTTTGTATTAATACTCTACCGTAACTTAATCTGAAACCTATCCATTGACGAAAGTCACATAAGCCCTTTCTAGAGACGAACAAAAACTATTTCCTTTGGATCGGATTCTTTTGGCTTATGCAACAGTGTTGTGAAATATGAAAATTGATAATTATTATATTCGCTTCTACCACGAGCCTAAAACTAACTTAATTATACATCAAACTAACTACGACAAAAATGGTGATCAAAATTGATCTAGCCATGTAAACCTTTAGATACTTTGTGCAAAACCCAATAAAACATAATCTGCAACTAATGTTCTTTTGAGATGACCACACACAAATAATGAAAACTCAACAAAGAGCTAGGCATACCATAACCAACGTTATACCTTCACTAGCTCTCCAAGAAGGATGAAATATTACCTTAACGTCCCCCTTAAGCCCCAGAATCCGAGTTGACTAATCTATTATAGAACTACCAAATGTTCTTCAGCCCAAAGGAAATTCTTTCTGAAAAAAAAACAGTCGACTTTAAAAGAAAATGAGAAGATGACAGTCAAGATTTCAACAAAAACTTCCTGATATTTTCTCAGATTGATAAATAATTTTCGATAATACACTATTTTCCACTTGATCCAAGTATAGAACAGATCGAACCGAAACACTAATATAACAAAAACGAAAAGCTTAAAAGCTTCACTCACGGTTTCTCACGTAAGAAAACAGTTTTATTATTCATCAATATCATGCTTCAGTTATTTGCCTCTATCAAGTGCAAATCAAAAAGAAAGTGTTTTCCTTTTGTTTTGTTCAACAATATCCAGGAAAATTTCAAGAAAAAAGAAACAAAAAAGAGACACAATCTTGAGTCGTCACCATCGCAGAAAGACTTCAAATCAACATATCTGCATTCATAAACAGAAGCAAGAGCACCCACTCATCAGGAAAATGAAAACATATCAACAGAGAAATACTATTAAAGCAAGCCAAGTATCGCTTTTCACATCAAACCCTCAAATATCAAACAACAAAGCAAAAAAAACGAGATCTATGTGATAAAGTAATAAAACATTACACATCTCAACAACCATTTGAAACCAGACATACTTTAGAGAAATCAACAAAGGTAAACACTTTCAACCTAAACAACACACATCTCAACAGCCATTTGAAACCAGACATACTTAAAAGCAATCTATAAAAGTTTTTAGTTACTCATTCACGCCAAAACTGCTTACAAGATCGAAAAATGAATCCTTTTTTCCATAAAAATGACAACTTTGAACAACCCATGAACACAATGATCGAACTTTATATAATCACCTCGAAAAAGATTCGGTCGAGATCAATGGCCACCGTGCTCCTTAGCATGCTGCTGGTGCTCGAGATGACGACGCTCATTTGGGAGAGCGACGAGGTAAGAGAAGGCCATTCCTCCGAAGCAGATGTGAAGGAGAGGTTCCACGGAGCTAGTCTGGATGTACTTGTCGTTGTAGTTATCGAGACTTTTCCTCACAGATGTCTTCACGGTTTCGACTGAAAACGTTGATTTGATGTAGGCGGGAAGCTCCTTCACTTTCTTCCCTTTGATTTCACTGTAGATTCTCCTCATCGCCATTTCGATCTTCCTTTTTTTTTTTTTTGAAGCCCTAGGAAAACGAATTGGGGATCGAGAGAGAAGACGACTTTTTGGGAGCTTGAAGATAGAATAAAAAGCAGTGAATGGGAGTTTCCTTTTTTTTTTATTTAGAAAGGTACCTGAACCGGGTCTCGGTTAGGGTTTGGGTTAAGAAAGTATTATGATACTCGGTTCGGTTTGGTTTTTGTTATTGTTTTTGATTAATTCGGTTTTACTTGTAAATCATTTATGTTTTTGTTCTATCGGTACTGATTTCACTTTTAGTGTTTTTTTTCCTGTGCTGTACAAAATTTCAGGATGAGAAGATTCGAACCGGATCATCAAAAATTGAATTGATAATTTGGTATACAAAACAAATAATCAGGTGAAAATCTACTTTTTTGTAAAGATGTGGAGCTTGTGTGCAATTAACCATAAACACTGTCGACAAAAAAAAAAAAAACAATAAACACAAATAAACAATGTCGGAAGGCATTGGCGACGTGTATAAATTTGATTGGAGAAGCTGACGAATGAGCAGCTCCTCCGCGAGAATTTATCAGAACGAAGAGTGAAGAAACAATTTGACGAAAAAAGAGAGCTTCTGGCATATAACATAACCCTTTCGAGAAAAATAAAAATGACGGAAGAGCCAGAAAAGTTGTCTTCTTCAACGTCACAGCAACCTTCTTCCGACAAGAAATCAGAAGATGCTGAGATCAAACCTCAGGTTCGTGTCTTTTGATTTTGTAAAGTTTCCACCTTTGCTCTTAGATCATTCAAGGGTTTTGATATTGAATTTGGCTCTATGATTTAATTTTTATCAGGATCGGGGTCATGGTGTTTCTCCAAAGTATCCGGTTTTATATCCGGGTCTTGTTCCCGGGTCGGATCCTGGGTTTTACGATGGACATACGAACCGTGGAGCTGGTGTTTATGCAGTTCCTGTTCATCAGTTTGGAGGAAATGTCGGTGGTGGTGTTTCTTCAAACTATCTCATCCCTCTCACTTACAATGTTCCCACGTAAGTTCACTTCGGTACTCTTTGACTAGTGTAATGGAGAAGAATCATATTCACTGGTTAATTGATTTAGCTATAGAAGAGTTGTGCAACAAGTTAGGTTGGTGGTCTTGCTTAATTCAAATGAATTGAGAGAAATAGTGAGAGAGATCAAGAATTCTCAGTATTTTATAGGTTTGGTAATGAAATCATATTCATTGGTCCAACAAGCCATATGTAAACCACTGTTTAGGTTCAAATCACTGGTGCTGTTCTTTTCAGATGACTTGATGTTAGAAAACCATAGAGGCTTGATGTTGAGTTTTTTTTTTTTGTGTGGTTGATGGTTTCTGTGTGTGTTTTGGTTTAGGACTAGACCTATTAATGGTTTTCGTGTGTCTTCGCTTAGGACTAGACCTAGTGTAATTGGAGAAAAATCATATTCGTTGGTTAACTGATTTATCTAGAAGAATTGTGTAACACAAGTTGATGATCCCTTGAGGTCAAATCACTGGCGGTGTTGCTTTTGAGATGAATTAATGTTAGAAAAACTGTAGGCTTTGTATTGTACTTTCCCTTTCATACCCTCTAGTAGTGTAGTGGAGAAGAATCATATTCCTTAGTGAGTTGGTTTAGCTAGAAGAGTTAACGTGTTGTGCAAAAAGTTGATCCCTTTTCTCAGTGAATCCAAAACCATTGTTTAGGTCAAATCACTAGTGGTGTTAGCTTTTCAGATGACTTAATGTTAGATAACTATCTTTTTTGATGTTGATGGTTTTGGTTTTAGAACTAGGCCAAGCAATGGGACTGAGGCTGGGGGAGAGAACCAAGCGCAAGCCGGGCAGGGTCAGCAGCAACAACAACAACCTGCACATCAAAGGCAAGTGGTGGTACGGAGATTTGAGATCGCGTTTCAGCTTGACATATTCCTCATACTCAAGCTTGCTGCTGTCATCTTTTTGTTCCACCAAGACGGATCTAGACAAAGGCTCGCTCTTCTTGTGATTTCCGCTACCATAATCTACTTGTAAGCCTCAAGAATCTGGTTCTTATCTTCATTCTTTCATCACGTATCCCTAAAGTGTTGGTAAAGAGTTTCAAAATGATGTAGCTAATACACTATTTGGTGTTTGGAAACTTTGACAGATACCAAACTGGAGCTCTTGCACCTTTAATTCGATGGCTCTCACAAGGTATGCACAGAGCAGCAGTACCACCTCGAGCTCCTCGACCTGCTGCGAGAGTTGATAATGATCCCGCAGCTGCAATGCCACTAAACCAAGATGCTGTTCCAGGTAACATATCTCTCTCTCTATCGTGGTATAAACTGAAGCCAGCACAGTCAACAACTTATGCAGAAGCGATTTGTTTCTAATTCTTTTGTGTGCAGAGGGACAAGAGAACGAAGCTGGTGATGGGAACAGAGCAAACGCAAATGAAAATGTGGATGCAGGAAGACAACAAGGGAATCAATGGTGGGGGATAGTGAAAGAGATTCAGATGATAGTTTTTGGCTTCATAACTTCACTACTCCCTGGCTTCCACAACATAGATTAGACCCTCTCCTTTTTTTTTCTGGAGACTCTCAATCTTCTTTAACAGAAGAAAGTGTTATGTCCTACTCTGTCGTATGTGAAGAAAGTACAGAAAATTTAACTTTTGAGACACAAATTTAGATGAATGTGCGCTGCAGTAGTTTTCATGTTTTCCGAAGCTCCTTGAGAGCTGTTATGGCTGTGACTTGTACCATTTCAACCAAGTTGGTCGTAGATATGTTTCTTCATTAATAATCCTGCCTGAACCTGACCTCGTTCTTTCTGCAAAAAAAAAAACAGTCTCCATCAACTTAACACATTGGTCAAAAAATCATCATAACGTTTTCATTTGCTATCTACAAGAACGAATAAGAATGAGAGTGAATGAGTGTATACCTGAATGTGTTCATTCAAGCTTAGAACTGCCAAGGTTCCTTACGTATTCATCACATTCTGGTCTGCATCTCCTTTGCTGCTCGAAGATGAAGCCAGTGGAGAAGAATGCGAAACCAAATACTCCTTCTGTTTCATTATAAGATTCACTCTACAGCTGTGCACACGGATTAAGGAAACAATTAATTTCAGATAACCATACAAATAACCATACAAATAACAATTAATAACAATTTATTTCATATATAAAAACACAATTACCCATACAAATCCCCTATATATTAATTGAGAAACATTTAAAAAGATGTAACCTCAAGTTTGTATTAATTAAAAAGTAACCTTGCTTAGTTGTCAATCAATTAGCATACCAATTAAACTGACGTGGCAGCTTTAGGTTCAATTGAAATTTGCTAGGGAAAAATAATTAGATACGCATATAACG